ATGTAGGTGTGTAAGTTTAATCCAACTACCTGGGCCCTATTTTATAAAAGTGCAAGTTACAGGCTACAGGTAAATTATTAAACATAGACGAAATCCGCATTCGTTTCGATTGGTCGAGACTGCGGCATCAATGTCAATTTGCCTGTAGAATAGGGTGGAGCGCACTTGTATGGGATATTTTTTTTTTGTGGAATATTCAAGTGGCGGATGTCGCAAAAGGTGCTGTGACACTAACATAACCCTCTCGTATAATATCATTTATACAAAATATAATCAGAAGTACTGCCGCATAGCTCGCAAAGTTTTCGAAATGTGCGAAAAAAAAGGTATACTTTCTTGACATGCAAAATGGTTTTAAATAAATTGTTTTTCTTAAAAAATTCCTTTATTCACATATGAACAAGTGTTACTATGATATAAATTGCAAAAAAAGTTACACAGTTTTCCTATGGCGTCATATTTTTGATCTACCAATCGCGCATTGTTTTACCATATAGGGTCATAAGGCCGAGCATTTCGCCACCTGGAGTCCACGGGGAGAGGCGAGAGTGCGGGACGCGGGTTAATTGTGTTGCATAGTTCTCTGCGTAATTAGTCATTTAGCTAGATTTGACATGAGATAACATAAAAAGTTGTATAATGAGTTTAAGAAGTAATTATTCGTCGCCTATCTTCGGTATTGGTTGTGAATTACCAAAAAATGTGCTGCCAACCTACAGTGATGTGATGAAATATTATGTCTTTGTATCAGTGGCACGATGTGCGGAAAAGGGACGACAAGATTTAGTACAGGCCACTTTTGATATTGTTGCGACCGAAATTGAAAACACCTGGAAACGAGCCTCTTTACCAATTGTGACGGCCCAATATTATTATTAATAATTAAATTCAATATAAAGGGGCGTCAAAAATAGTCTTAAAAGATATATATTAAGCAATTAAGTTAAATTAATAAATATAAAGTTAATATATTTCAGACATTATCCCAATAACATAGTAAATTAAAGGCAAAATTATTGTTTTTCGTAATAAATAAATTTATTTAAAAACTTGAAAAAATATTTAAAATAAGATAAATAATAGAAATACAAGTCAAAAAATATTATAAAATTAAGTTAAATAACGTTTATAAGATAATTAGAAAATTTGTTAAAAATTAATTTGTTTAAAGTCATGGGAGGTGTTCGTGTATAAAAGAAAATTTTTTCTAAGTTGTGGGAGGAGTTCACGTATAGATGAAATTTCCTAAGTTGTGGAAGGAGTTCATGTATTAAAGAAAATTTTCCTAAGTTATGGAAGGTGTTCACGTATAGACGTCTTGTATGGAGGAAGCTGCCGGAGGTACCTGCAGTTGTACATATGTATATATGGGGTGGTCGGGAGCCCGACTGCCTGAAGTACTGTAGCACAATGACTAGTCCCATATTAGGGACTTATGATATTAAACTCAATGATACAAAAGCAATACTAAAGAAGGTCTCTATGATGAATTTGCATTACAGTAGTAGGGTCGTGGGTTCGAACCCTATATATTAATGACTTATGAAAGTAAGGTCTATGATCCAAAAGCAATACTATAGAAGGTCTCTATGATTAATATGCATTACAATAGTAGGGTCGTGGGTTCGAATCCTATATATACATGACTTATGAAAGTAAGGTCTATGATACAAAAGCAATATTATAGGAGGTCTCCTTGATGCATAAGCATTGTATGGGGTGGTCGGGTGACTGACTGCTCCTAGTACTGTAGCAAAATGACTAGTCCTTATTAGGGACTTGAAAAGGAATATTATGGTGGCGTGTATGCTGCTTCACGAGCAATTGGTCTGAGGTAAACTTGGACTCGCTAACCGATGTGTCCTAGACATATCATCTTAGTGCCGGTGGTAAGCGGGTTTGTTGTAGCAATACGACTTTCCCGTGGACATCGCACACCCATACCGTTTGTAGGCGGCGTAGTAGCGCATAGCGATGCGTCGTCTATATTTCGGATTGGGATGATGAGTGTGTTTGGTAGCACTTTTAAGTGTAACAGGCATACTCAACTTCATGTCTTAGTGTATTAACGCTATGATACGTGGAGTTTTGTTCATTGGCGTCTTAGTAGCGTGCTACTATGATACGTTGGTTATATTTTTTATATAACAACAATAAAAGCTTTGTTGCCAAAGTCGATAGGAGTCATGTGGGTGTGTTGTGAGGGGGCGCCACCCGTATGATAGTTGCATTGATGCTTACTGCTACTTGCGGTATTGCGTCTTGTGATGGATCTGCGGGTGTGCTGCGCCTGATTCGACGTATTCTTGTGGTTCTGGTCGATGGAGGTATACAATTAACATCTTAGTGCTGGTGGTAAGCGGGTTTGTTGTAGCAATACGGCTTTCCCGTGGACATCGCACACCCATACCGTTTGTGGGCGACGTCGTTGCGCATAGCGATGTGTCGTCTATCTTTCGGATTGGGATGATGAGTGTGTTTGGTAGCACTTTTAAGTGTAACAGTCATACTCAACTTCATGTCTTAGTGCATTAGCGCTATGATACGTGGAGTTTTGTCCACTGGCGTCTTAGTAGTGTGCTACTATGATACGTTGGTGATATTTTTTATATAACAACAATAAAAACTTTGTTACCAAAATCGATAGGAGTCATGTTGAGTTGAGTGTGTTGTGAGGGGGCGCCACCCGTATGATAGTTGCATTGATGCTTACTGCTACTTGCGGTATTGCGTCTTGTGATGGATCTGCGGGTGTGCTGCGCCTGATTCGACGCATTCTTGTGGTTCTGGTCGATGGAGGTATACAATTAACATCTTAGTGCTGGTGGTAAGCGGGTTTGTTGTAGCAATACGGCTTTCCCGTGGACATCGCACACCCATACCGTTTGTGGGCGACGTCGTTGCGCATAGCGATGTGTCGTCTATCTTTCGGATTGGGATGATGAGTGTGTTTGGTAGCACTTTTAAGTGTAACAGGCATACTCAACTTCATGTCTTAGTGCATTAGCGCTATGATACGTGGAGTTTTGTTCATTGGCGTCTTAGTAGCGTGCTACTATGATACGTTGGTGATATTTTTTATATAACAACAATACCAACTTTGTTACCAAAGTCGATAGGAGTCATGTGGGTGTGTTGTGAGGGGGCGCCACCCGTATGATAGTTGCTTTGATGCTTACTGCTACTTGCGGTATTGCGTCTTGTGATGAATCTGCGGGTGTGCTGCGCCTGATTCGACGTATTCTTGTGGTTCTGGTCGATGGAGGTATGCGGGTGGTGATGTCTGCTGGGATGTATGGGGGACCTTGGGATGGTGTAAGCCCGACGATAGTTGTATTGATGCTTGTTGCATTCTGCAGCATTGCGTCTCTGCGATGGTTGTTTGGTGGGACGCTATTCTCAATGGCGCTCTCTGCGTCTTGCTTTGACTCACACCTAAGTAGCTTTGCCCAAGTCGGGTCCCTTCATTGCGGGGCTGCAGACTGTCTGCCCTCCACGATGTTTTATATAACAACATAATATTATATCTCTGTAACTTTCCCACCTTTGAATGATTGAAGGCAACTTGTCGGGTGGGTGAGACAAACATGATCCAAAATGCATTTACTCAACGTCATTGACACAAACCCTTTCTGATGGCGAATTATTACTCTTATCTTATAACTGCCTTCTGGCTATATCTGCCGTTGTATTGGTTGGTGGAGCATATGTGTCGACCTCATGCGGGTGGTAGCTGGCGGGAGGATCTGAGGAGACTCTCAAGGCTGCGGCCGAAAGCCGCACAACGTGGGACCCCATTCCCTTGAGGTGAGCAGTAGACTCATGACACGCTCTGCGGCTAGTAGCCGTGCTGATCATGCAATTGGTGGTGATGCCATACACTTACATCACGTCTGCAGGAGCGGCGGTCTGGTAGGTGGTGGCGCTCACGGAGGGTTTATGGCCAGTGTGCCTATTTGCCTAAACCGTGTGACGTACATTCACTGTGGCTGGATTCGTTCGTATTCTGTGTGGCGTTTACACGCATTGACATGCGCGACATTGGTCGATGTTTGTGCTTACGCACTAACAAGGGGCCAAGCCTCTTTTACTGGTTCGCCAGTGATTTTGCTGTGGACTACGGTCCAGTTCCCGAATTAGCGTTCCCTTCGGGGGGGAGTGCATCAAAATGGTTGGCACTCACCGTGCACGGCGTGTGTGGGGCCGTGTACCTCCCCTACATTTTTTTAAAATAAATGTAGGAGAGCGAAGCCCTTGTATCGGGTATTTTGTATAGATATATTTTGAGCCTTTTCCGAGCAGGAAGGGATAATTAATAATGTAAACCTGATGCAAGTGGAATAGGGACGTTTTATGTTCTTAACCTTTTTCGAGCCCTGTCTTCGTGAACGGGGTTCACTTAGCTTATAAGGCACTACCAACAGCTTTCAATTGCTCTAGTGAATATTCATTCCTCCAAAATACACCTAAAAGAACTAAGTTACTAAACAAACACAACGTAAATAAGGGTCCTAACTAAGACGATCACGCCAAATTATTACAAACGGCCTATTATTAAACCTTTAGAAAGATCATTTAGAAAGATCAAAACATAATTTATTAATCCTGGTCACATATATATAATTTTTAATGTAAAGGGGAACTAATTATATTCAATATCATACATATTTTCATATAGAGGGGGGGAGATCGTTACACAATACTAAAACATAAAACAATAGTGTCAAAAATAAGATCCTATCATGACAAACATCGCGCCCTTCTGAAATCCTACCAAAAGAGTAAAGACAACGAAAATTATAAACAGAAACTACAGAAGTTTAAAGAAGACTGTGAAGTTTTGTTTGATATTGCATCTTGTAAGTGCAAGTCGTTGTCGACATGTTCTTGTGAGAAAACTCGTAAAATTCCTAAACAAGAACACGAGTTTTTGCTCGATCAACGTGGCGAAAGAAGAATGATGATTGGATCTCTAGATAAAAAAAACTACACGTAAGAATATGGCTTTGTCTGATCGGAAGTTAAAAAGAAAACAATTTGAAGAGAACTCTATGTCATTACAAATTCTTGAACCTGAGCAGAAAAGAAGGAAAACAAAAACTTCGTCTGTTATTAATGTCACCTCGATTATGCCCGCAATTAATGTCCCCGGACCTAGTAAATTCCCAGTGGTAGCTATTACATTAGATAGATATGGCATTTCAGACTGTGCTGGTGCTGCCATCGTGTCGGCTACGTTGCAAGATAACGGTCTGGTTACTGAGAGTGACACGTCAAGTGTTATCGACCGTAGCAAAATTCGGCGCGCTCGCGCACAAACGAGAAGTTCAAGGGCTGCAGTTAACGTGCTAAATGGCGATGATACATTGGTTTGTATATCGTTTGATGGCCGCAAAGATAAAACAATGTTATATGAAGATAATCGCAGAAAAATCGTTGTTGAAGAGCACATAACCTTGGTAAAAGAGCCGAACTCGCAATACATCGGGCACATTACACTGGCCACAGCAAATGCACTCACAATTTCAAAAAAACTTTACCTTTATTTGGCGTTGAAGTGTGATTTGAAGCGAATAATAGCAATTGGGTGCGACGGTACGTCAGTCAACACCGGTAACAAGGCTGGAATCATTTATCTTCTAGAAAAGAAACTTCATCGCCCTCTTCAATGGCTCGTGTGTCTATTGCAAACCAACGAACTTTCTTTACGACATCTGTTTGAGCATCTTGATGGGAAAACTACAGGACCAAGAAGTTTCACAGGCGTCATTGGTAAAGCGTTGAAGGGTTGTGAGAATCTTCCAGTGGTTCAATTTACACCCATCGCATGTAGTATTTCAGTATGTAATATTTCAGTAGATATTTCAAAATCACGTAGTGATCTCAGTACAGATCAGCTTTACTTGTATGAAATATATGACGCAGTTAGCAGAGGACAATGTGACGTAAGTTTAGCCAAGCGAAACCCTGGAAAGATTGTTCATTCACGGTGGCTGACAACAGCTAACAGGATACTTCGACTATATGTTTCCACTAGTGAACCTTCAAATAATTTGCGTATCTTAGCAGACTTCGTCATCCGAGTGTATACTCCGATGTGGTTTGAAATTAAAACAAAACGATTTTGCGTGTCGGATCCGAAACACCTGCACAAAACGATTACATTATCGAGATACCTTCCTGCAAACCTTATGAAAATAGTTGACCCTGTGCTTCAACGCAATGGGTACTTCAGCCACAGCCAAAACATTTTGCTTAGTATGCTTGCAGACGATCGCAACCATATCAAAGAATTAGCACTCCGGCGCATTGTTAAAATACGAGAGCAGACTTCGGGCTTGGCGCCGAAACGAGTGTATAAATTACCATAATTTAACTTCTCTGCCGCTGAGTATAGAGATTTGATTGATTGGAGCTTTGTATCTGAGCCTCCTCTGATCAAACGGATACAAACCAACGTAATTTATAGAGCTATTCGGAATATTGAAACAGTCGAAACGGAGATTCTCTCTACATTTCGCAAAATGCCATGCCAACTCACAAGCTACTGAAAGATGCATTAAGCTGGTCACTGAGTCATGTGCTGCTGTGTGTGGACCAGATAAACGTAAAGGATGGATCCGATACAAGTTAGTGCAATATCATGCCCGTCTTCAACACAAAAAAAGAGTTCGTAGCCTCAGTCGTAGCTCACCAAACGGCGAAAAATTAATAATTTTAGATGTTTTTATTTTATTTTAATGGAAAGTACGTTATTTTTTGTATTTTTTTTTCACTCTCTATAATGTAAAGTGTTAAATTATTTAATAAAACATACGATTTTCTCAATTTTTTGTACCTGTTTCACATTTAACAAAATCCCTTATTTTCAGGATTTTTGAAATTGTCAATGGCCATGCGGCAGTACTTCCAGTCAAAATTCATGTTTGCTGTCCTGATGTATTCTGAATGTATCAGTACAGGGCACCGTTTCCGCAGTCCGCCGTATCTAAAATGTAAAAAAAAACACTCCACCCTACTGTAGAATTGTAACTTGTAGGTTTATAAAATTGGATCCTGTTTTCATACTATCATATAAGGTGACCTGTCATTCATACTATTATTCAAAATAAATAATAATAATAATTTTAATAAATATATTGAAATACAAAAAGTATTACTTCCTACACATCGCCGCAAGTAGAAGACGCATATGAGTTAGTGACGCAGACTGACATTACCAACTGTACAGACCTTCCCTACACTGACATGCATCTTCTAGTTGCTGTGATGGAGTTATTTTACTACGTACCTCAACGTTACAGCAAACATTTCAGTTGGTGGTATGCATGTCCTGTATTTCGTGTTTTGGAGTGTGATGCTATCCTTAATATGATATAGGATATAATTGAACGTAGTCTTGGACATCCTATAGTAGTTAAAAGCCTTCTTGTGATGCTGCCGCAACTTGGCGTGGTGTACATAAAACGCCCCTGTGATGTATCGTTCACGTATTAGCGGATGAACCCAAAATTCTTTGCATCGCCTGCGCCTTCGAAGGTACAAACGCAGTAAAGGAAGTTGTCGCCGGTTAACCTAGCCATCACTTTAAAACGCGACTACCACGCATGCCAGCTGGAACAAACTAAACCAGCGAAATTGGTCGCGTTGGACAAATGATCGCCGTCGCGTCATATTAAACTCGGTCCGAAATAATCTTGTTCTCGGTGACGTGACGGTGACAGCGGCGGTGGACAAACGCCCTTAGGATTAATCATACCGGAAGTTTGTGACGGTGGAGAAAAAAAGATTAGAATTGTTTTTTTGTCAAAGGAGGAACTACGTCCTTGTTGGGAAATAAAAATAAAATTACCATTATTCACCAACTGCCATAACTTGGAGAGTAACCAAGGTAAATTAGATGATCAATTGAAAAATTTGTTTTCCAGATATAAATAATTGTTTGATGGAGGGCTGGGACGGCACACGGGCGGCAAGGCGACGTTAAGAATCCGTGAGGGGGCAGCGCCGATGTTTCATCGCGCGCGGCCAATACCGTACGCGGTGCGCGAGCGCGTCGATGCCGATGACGTCATCGAGCCCGTCGACTGCTCCGACTGGGCCTCGCCGCTGGTACCGGTAAACAAAGCTGACGGTTCGTTGAGAAATTGTGCTGACTATAAGGCGACGATAAACCCTGTTTTGTTAGTTGATCGATATCACTTACCTAGAGTTAAGGATTTAATTGTTAGGTTGAGTGGGTCGAAATATTTTTCAAAAATTGATCAGTCTCAAGCCTATAATCAGATAGAGCTAGACGATATTAAATAGTTAACCGTAGTTATTACGCACCGCGGCTTATTACAGTATAAAAGATTAGTGTACGGGCTAGCATCGAGTGCTGGAATATTTCAACGTATATGTATAATTTGTTAAAAAGGACATCCCCAATGTCGAAGTATTTTTAGACGACGTCATAATCGGTGGGAAGAATATGTTCGACCACCATCAAACCCTAGAAGCTATCTTTAGCAGGTTACATAAGAACGGATTGAAATTAAAAAATCATAAGTGTATATTTTTTGTTAACGAAGTGCAGTTTTTAGGGTACTGAGTAAAGACGGAGTAAAAACATACCCGAAAAAAGATAGAAAGCTACCGAGGCCTTATAACGTGACCGAGCTACGGTCTTTTTTGAGTTTAGTGAATTTCTACTCAAAATTTATTAAAAAAAATGAGTAGGCTCGTAACATTATGCCAATTACTAAAAAAAAGGTCACAATTGGTTTTGGTCGAAGAAATGTGAGCGCGCGTTTGTTGAAGTCAAAAATATATTAATCAGCGCGGAAGTATTAGCTCACTACGACCCTCAGCGGACTGTTATAGTAACGTGCATCGCGAGCGCCGGGGCCGTGTTGTCGCAGCCGAGCGACGACGGCAGTCGCGAGTAGAGGTGGGTAATATCATAATGATTTCTTATATTTACGCAAACACTATACATGATTAAAACTACTTTTACGGATTTTATTGCGTTTATTTTTACTTTTTATTTACTTTTATTTTATTTTTAATTCCCGACGTTTCGGGCGCTTTCCAGCACCCATGGTCACGGGGGCCTGAGATGACTGACGTCCCGATGTCATTGTTAAACCCGGAGTACCTTCAGCTTTTTTAATTATTGTTTATGGTCCGATCTATGCAAAATGAACTGACTATGTCTTGAGGTCTTGCAGTGGTATGCTTGGGTTTAGTTTTAATTTTATTGATTATAGGATCCCAAGCAGGTGGTAGTACCCAGCCTCCTTCTCTATTGAAATTAGGATGTTTTTTAATTTCAATAGCCTCACGTATCATCCTTGGTAGGAATCGGTGTTCTTTCGCGAGGATTTGTGGTCTATCAAATCTGATGTAATGGTTGGGGCCGTCCAGGATATGATCACAAACTGCAGACTTCCCGGAACGTTGATGCTTCACATCAGCTATATGTTCTTTTACGCGGGTTCTAATTGATCTTTTTGTTTGTCCTATATAAGAGAGACCACATTCACAATCAAGCTTGTACACTCCTGCATCTTGTAGAGGAATATGACACTTGACGGATGGTAGGAACTGACTAATCTTCTTCAGCGGCTTGTAGAATGTTCTAATAGAAGCTCGCTTCAAGATATAGCCAATCTTGTCTGTGACACCTCTGACATATGGTAGTACAGCAGGCACACGCTCGAATGTGGCCGGCTTCACTCGGTCACTGTGACGTAGGCGCGGGACCCGAAGCTTGTTGTCGTGCAGAACTTGCTTGACGTGCTGAAGCTCGGCGGCTTGAAGGTGTTTGCTGTCACAGATCCCTCGTGCTCTCTGTAACAAAGATTTGCCCACGGTAGCTAACTGTGAAGGATGGTGGTGAGATTCACCGTTTAAATATCGGTTTGTATGGGTCCTTTTCCTATACACAGTGTGACCAATGGTGTTATTAGGATTTCGGATGACTAACACATCTAGGAAAGGTAAGGAATTATTTGCCTCTAACTCCATAGTAAATTGAATTTTAGAGTTTATGGAATTAAGATGTTCTAAAAATGCAGTTACTTTGTCTGATGGTAAAATTGTGAAAGTATCGCCCTCCTTACTGCACCTGTTACACCAAGGATCTACAAGCGGTACGTAGACGATACTTTACTATATGACATACAAAATATGATAATAATATGGATTCTTAGATCAAACAACAAGTCTAAGTTTCTATAAGCTATATAACACAAGACAACTAATTATGAAATTCTGCAAAACAGTTTCGGCCCTTAAGGAGGCACAAATATATATCACAACAAATACATTTAACTGTGCTTTTTATTTTGCAACCCTCTTATCGGCAGCGCATTTGAGAATCTGTTTACTCTTGCAAATGCAATGCTTTCCTGTTCTTTTTAGCAGGCAGAGGTTTTATATCAACTCGGCGTTTCTTATGTGCTGGTGCTAAATAGTTTTCTAAACTGCTATCTACTTCTTCTGTTGGTAATGGGGGACAGTTTTTTGTAATTAACTTTTCTCCTAAGTTGAGTTTATATTCTCTCAACTGCTCAATCTTGTGGCGCAGAACGCCTTTTGTACGTTGACGGTCGCGACACAATAGCCAGGAATTAGGGACGGCTAAATCTAACATGTGAAATAAGAACCGTATGTTCTATTTTTTTGTACGACTTCTCGCTGGACAAACAGCAAGTAACCTGTCGGTGAGATCAACACCGCCCATGTTAGAATTATAATTTTTAATGACTTCAGGTCTTCTGACATTCTGGTATTATTTGATTCGTTTATTCCACTTAGAATAGGTGTCACACGCAGTATCCGAAAAACAAGACGATATCATATGAACTGGCTTGTTATCAAGCCATTTCGTGATGGTTAATTTTCCATCAGCTCTACATTTAACGTCAGTGGTGCCCCTGGGTTTTTTTAATAAAATCTTTTGTCGTCGGACAGAGTACATTCTTTAGGTACCCTATTTTTCATTATTGACCCAGTGCTATTGAATCCTCTCAAATTTAGTTCATTCAAAAGCTCTGTTGTGGAAAAATATCTGTCAAAGTACAGGTAATGACCGGGAACCAACGATTCACTCTATCTCGGCAACCCTAAGGCGACGGGCCTTATGGTTGCCGAGTCCGATTCCCCGGTCGAGCCTTGACCCTACTACGTGAGATGTTATACTAGATGGACTGTATATGCGGTAAGCTTCTTCTGCTTCAACAAAATGGCGGATGTAGGATGCGGTTCGTTGACAATGCACTCGCTCTTCCGAAATCTATTGTTTGCCAAGGTTATGAAGGAATCCTGCTTGAGCACATTAGGAGGAATGAAATGGGGCGGATTAACTAACAAACAAATACTTAAGCAGGCATTGAGTTATAGGAAAAATAAACACACTTACCGGGGTGTGACTTCAATGCGGCTTGGACGCTTCTGTTGCTGCGGTGCGACTTCTGGCGGATCTCCTGGGTTTCCAGTGCGTAAGGCGCGGTATGCGAAGAGTTGCCCCTCACCTTATTGTGTAACAAAAGATGAGGGAAAAGTGATGCTCAAATGAGCATGTTTATGTCTCCGGGGACGGCGTAAGTAACGTCTGCCAGCGTCAAATTTTCAAAAATCAATTATTGCCGAGGTGTAAACCGAAACGGTTGGCAGACGTTCAGTGACTTTATACACTACTAACGCATTTATATTAAAGTTAATGTTACAATCTAGCCGAGAATAAAATTTTAAATTGATAGAGCCCTGGGAAATTTTATTAGTACCTCCGATGCCTTTGACTACAGGACATGAAAGTATCTTATTTATTGGCAGTCCTAAACGCTGACAACATTGCCGCGTTATAAGGCTACTCTGGGATCCGCTGTCTAGCAATGTACGGACACTTTGTTCGTTTCCACGCGAATCCCTAACTACGATACGGGCTGTACCCAGTAACACGGTTGAAGGAGACTGTGTTCCCATATTCGACAATGAGCACAGAGCGACGTCACCAGGTCGACCGCTAGAATCGTCGACTTTAGTAGGTGTGATTTCCTTGTCCGATTTACTTGACGTGGATATGTTGCCGTTTTCGAAATGTAATAACGTGTGATGTCTGCTGGCACACTTGTTACACACGGAACTAGAATTGTATTTAGCAACTAAATGTCTATCGCTTAGACAATTCAAACATAAGTTGTTCGTCTTTACTATTCTATAACGTTCGCTGGGTGAATGTTTACGAAAGGTCGCACAATTATATAAATTACCGTGTTGTTTATTTTTACATAGAACACAGGCGCTATGAAGTGATGTAGGCGCAGCGGTTACGTACGTTAGAGACCATGCGATTCTAGACCGAATATCTGGTCTAAATATAAAGAGGCTAACATTCGCTTATCTTCATATTTGTTCTTAAGTGTTTCAAATATTAACGAATAATTGCTTGCTGTTGGTGTGAAGCCCGAACAAATGGACTGTGCCCTACCGCTTAATTTACTAATTAAGTAATACAATCTTTCAGCGTCCGATAACGATGGATTATTATGTATATTATGTTCAAAACTATTTACGAACAACGGCCAAGTTTTAATATCTCCATTGAATACCGGAATATCTATAGGGGGCAATCTAAATGATTAACGTGGGCGTACCTGGGTCTCTCGTTTTGCTTCGCTTTGGGCTGGAGACTGTAAGAGATTTGCCGTTCTTTTTACGCAACACAACATATCTTCAAATGATAGAAGTGGATGATAATTCACTGTATACTTCAGATTGATTTGCGATTCTAAATTATTAATTTGGTCTAATATCTTTTCGTAATCCATCCGCAAAGATTCCACCGTTTCGATTTCACATAAAAACGTTTCCCGCACTGCTTCTACGTTAATATTTTTTATGTGATCACTTATATATTGTATACGTGAAAAGAGTACGTCCCTCTTGGCGTAAAGAGTTTTAAGTTTAATTTGTTTTCCACTAACTGCCATTTTAAATCACTATAATTAATATTAGATTAATCACAAGTAATCGCACAACTCTGGAGGATGGACACAATGTAATACAACTACATATCACAACACTATTGTCTTATCGTGCCGTATTACCTCATTAAATTGAACACCTTTGCAAACAAACGAGACAACGTGCGTCGATAGATAAGAATCTTTTAGATTCTAACACTATTTTTTTTACAAATTGTGGGTAGGTCGAATAAGGCCGAGCGGAGCCAAACTATTTTGAATAAATAAGTCGATTTACTTATGCGAGTAACTAATAAATTTTAAATTTAAACTAAACAAAACTACATAATCTATCCAATATTAAATTAGAGTGCATTGCCTAAGGAATTAATCCAGCAGTTCGACTCGATGAGGCTACAAAGCACCAGTTCCAGAAATGGTTGGTGAGGCTACAGAGCACCAGTCCAAATCCGCTCGAATGACCAGAAATGGTTGGTGAGGCTACAAAGTACCAGTCCAAATCCGCTCGAATGACCAGAAAAATGGATGGGTGGCGGGCCTTAGGGTTACCGATTCCGATTCCCCGGTCGAGCCTTGACCCTACTACGCGAGATGTTATACTAGGTGGACTGTATACGCGGTAAGCTTCTTCTGCTTCAAAAAAAATTGCGGATGTAGCATGCGGTTCCTAGACAATGCACACGCTTTTCCGAAATCTATTGTTTGCCAAGGTTATGAAGGAATCCTGCTTGAGCACATTAGGAGGAATGAAATGGGGTGGATTAACTAACAAACAAATACTCAAGCAGGCATTGAGTTATAGGAAAATGGAACACACTTACCGGGGTGTGACTTCGATGCGGCTTGGACGCTTCTGTTGCTGCGGTGCGACTTCTGGCGGATCTCCTGGGGCCCCAGGGATGCAGTCCTGGCCGGTGGTGCGATGGAAGAGAGCGGTGCGCGACGATATCTCACACTAGGTGAGGCGGTTACTCCTGGAGCTCGACTGCTCCAGGTTGGTGCGGTTGAAACTAGCGGTGCGCGTGTGCAAGAGCCCTCTAGGACGCGAATGTCCCAGGCGGTGTGGTTCCAACCAGCGGCGTAAAGGCAAGAGAGCACTCGAGTCAAGCGCGCGAGCTTATGTCGGCTTCTTTCCCACCGAAGTCGGGCGCTCTTCTCATTGGTTGCGAGAATCACGCAACATTCTAGAATCTCTTCTTTCCTCTCTCACCCCACCTCAGTGTGTACGGAAGGGATAGGTCGAAGGAAGGACAACGCTTGGCAAGCATACCCTCGAATAAAATTAAAATACGAATGGTTTTCCGCGCAACCACACTCAATCTAAGAATAGCTGCTTCACAAAGCGAAAATCCTTGATAGATAAAATCTTCAAATGTTTTTTCACCTTGATAGACTACCATGTCCAGTACGAGCCCATCCGGATTTGCAGCAACAAAAACCTTTAACACTACGGGGTTTGGTTTATTTGGACAATATTGTTTTAATCCACATGTCCCAGTAAAAGGGATTATCATCTCATCTATTGTGATGTGCTCCGATCTCTTCTGACAAAGATAACCTTGTAAAATTCTGCGAAGGAGGGGATAGACTTTCCATAGCTTGTTCTTTTTCTCTTCATCAGTGACGTCAATATCGCATACATTTTTTAGTCCTGTTCTGATGGTATAAAATCTATCCCGAGTCATTGCATCCGCAATCAAATTAATTTTCCACGTGCGATTCCAATAAAGATCTATCTTGGGATAATTAATAGCTGCCATGACTAATGAAATTCCAAAGAATACCTTCAGCTCCTCTATAGTCAATTCCATAGACTTTCCTTTTTTAGCACGTTTGTCTGGTTGGTAGCCATAACCATAGTCTCTAAAATTTCATTATCGGAGTAATCATCAAAAAATCATACCATACCATGCTAGAAATGTCTCGTTCCACATAGTTAGGGCTGTGCATTGGGTGGATCGTTGGTTCAAACGAGTCTCTTTCCCAAGCATCCGTTAAGTTTCGGGAGCCTGTAGCTGGTCTTTTGCCTCTACCTTATTTACCTCTACTTCGTCCACCTCGTCCTCGCAAAGAACCTCTGATACGTGATCTAGAAGCTCTCCCACGCCCCAAAATTGAGGATGAACGAGAAGGAATTGGTATATTTGGAGACTCAGTGCGTTCTGGCTCTGAGAAATCTTGATTTTCGCTAAATTCGTCAGAAGGTGAACTTGAACAATTACGATTCTGGTTTCTTTTATATGTGGGGTCATCTTCGGAGTCATCCACGAGAAATCGAACTCTGAATCGTTCACTAAATCTAATACTGAAAAGATAAAGAAAACATAAATTACAACGAATGTCATATGTGTAGGACATCAAATTAAATAAATAAACTCAGTATACGACTGATGTCATATGGGTAGGACATCAAAAAGTACGGTTATGTAGTTAATTAAAAAAAGAGGTTAGATCAAAAATAAGTCTCATTTACAATTAATTAGTCCTTAATCTTTAGAAAACAAACATAGTAATTGAAAAGTCATGAGAGATTCTTATAATATTCATTGATTGCTTACTTTGCTCGACCCGCAAATTTCGGCACCTGTGTTGTTCCTCCATTTTGCAGCGAAAGTGTCAATTGAGAACTGTCAATATATTTTTTTTTCAGAGTTGCGTTCAAAAACAGTGTGACAGTGTGCGATTTTTTTTTTAGTTGATGTCCTATGCATAACCCCCGAGGGGTTAGGAGGTTAAAAAGCTAGATTATTTAATCAAGATAAAAAATTCACTAATAGAGTATCCTCTTTAAAACATAATCGAGGATGGATAACATTGTATCGTATTACACTAATAGCGGTTACACTATATTAGAAAGTGTAAGTGCATAATCTTAAAATCGAGCCAAAGTCGGGAATCCAGCCAGCGTCGATGTAGCCATCACCTGGAAGGTAAATAGGCTATACCCAATTAGTCTAACAGAATCTGACAAACAGAATCTACAGTCCTGCTTATTTAACTGGAATAGTTTAGTAGCTCCTCTAATTTTACAGCACACCAAGCGTGGAATCTCCACATTGCATAACTTCTGGAGATAATTTCAGGCGAAAATACCATCGAAACACAAAAAAAAAATAGTAAAATTGCCTGGCGTCAAATGAATACGAGTATATTACGAGGATGCGAACATACCAGAAAAATAAAAATATTAATATCATGTCATACGCCACATTTTGAATATAAAAAATTTCTACTGATTTTATCCTGTTTAAATTACCTTTTTATATTTTTAAAAGTTTTGACAGCTTTGTAGTATCCATGGTATTGATACTGTAATCGATAATGCTAAGTATTTTGTAGATAAATTTCAATTTTCCATATTAACTTTATGAAAAACACAATTACCGTACAGAAATATCTATTCTCGTAGATCTCACCCCGAGCCGTCAATGATGTCATGGAAATCCATTATAGATTATTTATGGAGTGGCCGCAAAAATATTTATCTGTATCGATAATGCGTCGGCCGACGGCGCGCCAGTGCTTTTGACCAGAAATGAAAGCCTTCTGTTGTCATGTTCGCTTTTCCTTAGCCTTAAAACGGTAAGATTTGCATTTTCGATGTAATCCATTATATAAGTGGTGTATATAAATGTACTAAATATGTCGTTTAAAAATCGTAAAAAAAGGAGGTTTATGATTTAAATTTAATATACGTTTGGTAGCTTCATGTAACTACACAAACATATACATACATAAGCACTTACGCCTGTCACCAAGGGGGAAAGGCAGAGACTACAGCCTTCCATTAGGCACAATCCTGACACACCTCTCTCACCTCTTCCACATTCATATACCTACGCATACATGCTCGACAGTTAAATGTACTCTTAATTTGGCCCCTTTTCAGTAGGTCGCCAATTTGGTCGACAAATTTTCGCCTAGGGCATCCCTTACCGACTCTGCCGTTCACTTCAGCAACATAAATTTGTTTTGTCACTCTTTCTTCATTCATTCTTTCTACATGACCAAACCACTGAAGCATTCCTTTCTTGATCCTCGTCACAACATCATCTTGCATACCACACTTTTCTCTTATTACACAATTTCTCACCCTGTCACTCAGATTCAGCCCTAACATTCATGTAACTACCGAACAAGTAATGTTAAATTATTTTATTTACAATACCTAACTTTTTTGTGCCACTGGTAACACTGGCTCAAGCTAATCCTAAATACACGTCCAGAAAAATTTATCTCCATTAAAATTCCTATTTTCACGACTGTATGAAATGAGACTCACGTAAAATTCAAAACTAAAAATGATTAATATATGTTACTATAATTAAAATAATACATCAGAAAAGATCTGTTTATTCATTAGTTTACATTACAAAAAACAATTTCATTAACATTAGTAGGAAAGCCTGGCTAGATTGTTTGTGAAAATAACTAACAACCCCTTGAAGACAATAATACAGAATATTAGAAAACTAAGTATTACATTTAATTTTTATATGTAAGAGCATAATGTAATGAGCCATACTCCATTGCTGCGGAAGTGAGTAGCAGAGTCGACAAAGGCGACCTAGAAATAATAAAAGAAAATTTATTGACTAAATTTTACTTACATTACTTACTAGAGCTTACTTTTTATGTTCGTGGTCATAATATTCTTCTTTAATATGACGGAATGGCCTTGTTTTCAGCTTGCCACACTTAGTGATAAAAAATATCTAAACTGCTATGAGACTCCAACGCGATTCTTCAATATGCTTTCATTATCAAAGTTATAAAATTATTGCATCACTATACTTTCTCTTTACATCTGCATAATTTTAGGTGTTACAGATGCTTAGAAATAGTTGAAAACTAAATTATGGAAAATTCCATTACACATTCGTATATGTATACACACATGTTTATATATATATATATATATATATATATATATATATATATATATATGTGTTTGTGTGTGTGTAAATAAATGCCTATGTATAGAAATAAGGCTAATAATAAAAAACGTTCTAAGTAAAAATAAAATAACAAGAAATACGAAGTCATCACATTACTTCTTTAACCGACTTCAAAAAAAGGAGGAGGTAATTTCGACTGTGTGTCTTTTTATGTGTGTTACCTCGGAACTTTTTTCCAGGTGAACCGATTTTGAGATTCTTTTCTTTATTTCAATTCCGATACTTCTAATGTGGTCTTTTCAAAACTATCTAACATAGTATTGGGATAATGAGCCGGAATACTCTGTGCATTTATGTGAAATATATATATTTCACTAGACTACTAGATACACTAGATTTTGATGGCTTCAGAAAAATAGTGTAAAAAAATTCTAAATTACTAGTTAGGTTACAATCCATTTATGCCCGCTTAGCAGAGGCCTCCTGTCATTTGAGAGAAATTTAGAGTATAGAAATGTCCATCACGCTGCTCCGATGTGTATTGAGAGTTTACACATTTTTTCGAAATTTTCTTAATTAACCATACATGTCTTACCAGGTTGTGAGCCCATCTAGGGATACAGGAAGTCGATGGATGCATGTGGTTCGGATCGTGCTTGGTGGCATTCCTTGGTTTAGCAGTAGAATTGTGAAGGACTGTAATGATGGTGATAACAATAATGAATCATACATGCTAGTTTCCTTATGAGGTTTTCATTTACCGCCGCGTACGTGATAAGTCATTACTTAAAAATTATAATTAACAATTTAAATATTGCTGGCGGGGTTCAGCTGGGTTGCTCACTTACTTTCAAATATACGTCAAAAACTGCCCCTGAGTCATCACGATTCTGCTTCACGGTTCTATGTACATGATAAGCCAATATAATATACGTCTGTGTAATATATGTCAATACTTATCAGTGCATAATTCAATAACATAAGTATGTACATACAGTGTAGAGGAAATGAAATTCTGTGTATCGACATCGGCTTTGCGGTATACCCAATACTGCCAATCTAATTTGAATGTTATAAAATGATATATGTGATAAATCATTCCACCACTTAAATGGGATAATAAAACAAATTATTCCGACAACAAAAATATTAGAAGCCATAATCAATTGCAGGTCGTATCCTAAAAACATTATGGAATATTAAAGTATTTACTTCTGAAGACCTTAAAAAGTTTGTTCTTGGTAAGAAATCGGATCCTGTCGGCCAGTTGGTATCAGGTGACAATGCAGCTCGGGCATCTGGAAAGTCTGAACTAGCACGTACCTGACGTGCTGGTAAGATTAAATAATGTGTTTTTTTTTTGTGAGATCACTGTAGTGAAATCTCATCTCAATCATAATTGCTTCACTGATAAACTAATTACAATATATTAAGTTGTTTATATAACTGAAGATGCAATTTACTAAGACCCTATTGTTAGTCTTCCATGGGCTTAATTTTATATAACTAGTGTTTAAGTTCTGCATAAAACTTCATACCTTTTTCTTTCAACTCTTTTTATCCTGTATATTTTTATTATAGTCAAACATAAGAAGACAATTTTTGGTCTATTTAGTGCAGTAATATTTAGTAAATAATAAGCATTTGTTTATTTTTAATTGGGATCATTACTTTTGTCTTAAGTGTTTTGTTTTATTCCTTACACCAGATTAAGTTGTTACTAATTGTATTCATAACCTCATTGAGCTAATATGTACTACGTACTAGAGGCGACACTACATTCAGCTACTATGTTCCATTCAACTGCGGTGCATACACTGCACTTTAATCAGTCACTCGCTAGGCGCTTGTAGAGTTAACTCGTGTTGTGTTGATTTAAAAAAATCTCGTGATAAAAATATGCCGTCGTGCGTACTTAGATATTGCACAAATAATTCAAGAAATGTCAGTAAAAACCAAGGAATTACTTTTCATTGGTTAATAAGATACTTAATAAATAAAAAAGGATTATAAATTAGTAATAAAACGAATTATTCCTAAGACGCCATCTTGTGTCACGTAATATAGATTATGAAATTAATTTGTTCAGATGCGACATATCTGTGGGTACTTAAATATGGGATGAATATATTATTATACACATTTTTTTGTAGAAACATATATGAGTTATCATAATTAGGCCAAATTTTTTATATTTAAATCTGCTAATTATTCTTATATTTTATTTTTAAGTTTCCACATCAAAGTCAAAGTGGAATAAATTCGTCAATTTTTAACTCTCGCGTGCCCAGTATTTATGAACGGCTCTTATTCTAATTTAAATAAATATATATTTGTAATTTAAATGTTATATTAATAAATTTTGTTAAACATACATTCAGTATGTTTTTTTATATTTGAGATAGATACCTTTTAAAATATTGAGATAAAAATATCATTAAAATGTAATTGTTATATAATATTATATTAAATAAGTAAATATAATATACAATATAAATGACAAAATTTTAGAAATTGTTCTCGATATAATTTACCTATTTAAGAGTACAATCTTTTATTACCTATTGATCATTCTACCAATGTTTATTCCATGATAAGAAAACAAACCGCGCGAACACAGAGTAGCGCACATTTTTTGTTTGAAATAGCTGTTATAGCACGTAAGTACATATTACTTCTATGCATAACCTACAAGTTTTAATC